CCCCCAGTAGAAGTGACCTCCCTATGCCTAGTAGCAGGAGCATCCCTGTCCCCAGTGGTATCAACCTCTCTACCCCCAGTAGTATTGGCCTTTCCATGCCCATCTGAAGGGAGTAACCTTGCATTGCCTGAGGAAATGAATGGCCTCTCCTGAGGCAGTTGCCATCCAAGACACTGCTGACTCTCTTCAGGACCCACTATCCCACCACCCCTCTTTGCTTCTAGGCTTATAACTACAGTCAAGTCATAACAGGCCCCTAAACATGAGGTACAAAGTATGACCCATGAAAAGGTGGACTAAACTCCAAAAGAACTACTTGAATTTTCCAATTTATATAAGCAGAAATCTGGGGAACTTGTGTGGGAATGGATACTAAGGATGTGGGATAATGGTGAAAGGAACATAAAGTTGGATCAGGCAGAATTTATAGGCTCACTAAGCAGAGATTCTGCATTTAATATTGAAGCTCATGGAGTCTGAAAAGACTTTAGTATTTTATTTGTTTGATTGGCTGACACATGGACAAAAAGGTGACCCACAGTGAGAGAACTGGAAATGCCAGATCTGCCTTGGTTTAATGTACAGAAAGGAATTAAAAGTCTTAGGGAGATTGAAATATGAGAGTGAATTTATCATTTAAGACCTACTCACCCACACTGGGAGGGTCCAGAAGACATACCTTTCACCAATACTGTGAGAAATAAATGTATGAGGGGAGTGCTGACATCTTTAAAGAGCTCTGTGATCACTCTTCTTTGTAGGCCAGACCTTACAGTGAAAACTGTAGCTACTGAATTTGGAAACCTAAATGCAATAGGAATAATTGGGTGCCAGGTAGCAGGGGCCAAGTAGCAGGACTCAGTTGCCAAAGGTGAGCATGGCTACCATAATGGACAGCAGAGTCACAGCAGCAAAATAACGTGACTCACCCAGACCAATGGTTTTGGTTAGTTAATCATGGTTTTTCTAGAAGCAAAATAGATAAGAATGGTACTAAATTCTTACTTGATCTGTATAAGCAGGATAGTTCTGGGTCAATTGAACAAAAGTCTAATTTTAATAATAAAAACAGAGAGTGATGGCTCCTTCGTCAATTTCCAGACTTAAGCCAGTTTGTAGAACCAGAACCACTTGAATGAAGGAAAGGTGTGGTCCATTTGAGGAAGGGCCTTGTACACTATCAGAAATTTGTACTATTAATCTTTCTCCCAGCTTCCACAAAGTGACCCATGGCCTTTTACAACAATAGCTGTATATTGAGGAAAAGGAAATAATCAGATCTTCCAGGAACTACCGAACACTGGTTCTGAACTGACACCAATTCCAGGAGACCCAAAATGTCACTGTGGCCTACCAGTCAGATAGGGGCTTATGGAGGTCAGGTGATCAGTGGAGTTTTAGCTCATGTCCATCTTACAGTGGGTCCAGTAGGTCCCTGAATTCATCTTGTGTTTATTTGCCCAGTTCTGGAATGCATAATTGGAATAGACATGCTCAGCAGCTGGAAAAATCTCCATTTCGGTTCCCTGAACTTACAGACTGGGTACTACTATGGTGGAAACAGCCAAGTATGAAGCCACTTGAACTGTATCTACCTAGGAAATTAGTAAAACAAAAGCAATACTACAGTCCTGGAGGGATTGCTGAGATTAGTGCCACCATCAGGGACTTAAAGGATTCAAGGTTGGTGGCTGCCACCACATCTACATTCACCTTGCTTATTTGGCCCATGCAGAAAGCAGGTGTATTTTGGAGAATGGCAGTGGATTGTCATAGGCTTGATCAGGTGGTGACTCCAATTGCAGTTGCTCTACTAGATGTGGTTTCATTGCTTGAACAAATTAACACATCCCCTATACTTGATATGCAACTATCAACCTGAAAAATTCTCTTTTTTCCATCCTTGCCCATAAGGCTCACCAGAAACTGTGTGCCTTCAGCTGGCAAGGCCAGCAATATACCTTCACTATTATACCTCACAGGCATATCATCTCTTCAGTCCTATGTCAAAACTTAATTAATTAATTATTATTTTTCAAATAATTTCAACATTTCTTTTAGATTTGGGGGTACATGTGCAGGTTTGTTACATGGGCATATTATGTGATGCTGAGGTTTGGCGTATGAATGTGAATGAACCCATCACCCAGATAGTGAGCATAGTACCCAACCTTTGTCCCCTTTTCTGCTTCCACCTCTTATAGACCCTAGTATCTATTGTTCTCATTTTTGTGTCCATGTGTACCAAATGTTTAGCTCCCACTTACAAGTGAGAATATGCAGTATTTTTCTGTTTGTACATTAATTTACTTAGGATAATGGCCTCCAGCTGCATCCATGTTCCTGCAAAGGAAAGGATTTTATTTTTTTAATGGCTGTGTAGTATTTCATGGTGTATATGTGCCATATTTTCTTTATGCATCCACCATTGATGGGCATCCAGGTTGATTCTATGTCTTCGCTATTGTGAATAGTGCTGCAATGAACATATGCATGCATATGTCTTTTTGGTAGAATGCTTTATTTTCCTTTGGGTATATACCTTGTAAAGGGATTTACTGGGTTGAATGGTGGTTCTAAGTTCTTTGAGAAATCTCCAAACTGCTTTGTACAGTGGCTGAACGAATTTACATTCCCACCAACAGTGTGTATGTGTTTCCTTTTCTCCACCGCCTTAACTAGCATCTGTTATTTTTGCCTATGTCGTAATTTAGTTCACAGAGATCTTGATTGCTTTTCCCTTCCATAAGATATCCAAACTGGTCCATCACATTGATGATATTGTGCTAATTGGAACTAGTGGGTGAGAAGTAGCAATTACTTTAGGCTTATCAGTAAGACTTCTTTTGTGCCAGGAGGTGGGAAATAAATCTGACAAAAATTCAGGGGCCTTCTACATTAGTAAAATCTCTAGGGGTTCAGTGGTGTGGGGTCAAGATATCCCTTCTAAAATGAAGGATAAGTTACTGCATTTGGCTCCTCCTGCAACCAGAAAATAGGCACAATGCCTTGTAGACCATTTTGAATTTTAGAGGCAAAATATTCCTTATTTGGGTGTGTTACTCTGGCCCATTTACCCAGTGACCCCAAAAGCTACTTGTTTTGAGTAGGACCCAGAATAAGAGAAGGCTCCGCAACAGGTCCAGGCTGCTATGTAAGCTGCCCTGCCATTTGGGCCATATGATCCAGTGGATCTAACGGTGCTTGAAGGGTCAGTGGCAGATAGGGATGCTGTTTGGAGACTTTGGTAGATCTCTATAGGTGAATCACCATGCAGGCATAGGGTTTTGGAGCAAAGTCCTGTCACCCTCCACAGATAACTACTCTCTTATTGAGAAACAGCTCCTGACCTGCTACTGGGCCTTAGAGACTAAATGCTTAATGATGGGCCACCAAGTTACCATGTGACCTGAGGTGTTCATCACAAACTGGTTGCTGTCTGACCCCCTGAGCCATAAAGTTCGACACACACAGCAGAGCACTTATTATCAAATAGATGTGGTATATATGTGATTGGACCTGAGCAGGCCCCGAATAAACAGTAAGGTACATGAAGAAGTGGTCTAAATGCCCATGGTCCTCTCTCCTGTTACATTGCCTTCTCTCTCCTAGCCTGCACTTAAGGCCTCATGGGCAGTTACCTACAATTAGTTAACAGAGGAAGAGAAGACTCAGGCCTAGTGTACAGATGGTTCTGTATAATATGCAGGCAACACCTGAAAGTAGACAGCTGCAGCACTACGCCCTTGTTTGGGTTATCAATGAAGGATAGTGGTGAAGGGAAAGCCTACCAGTGAGCAGAACTTTGAGCGGTGCACATGGTTGTTCACTTTGACTGAAAGGAATTGTCCAGATGTGTAATTATATATTGATTATTGGGCTGTGGCCAATGATGTGGCTCTATGGTTGGGGACTTGGAAGGAACATAATTGGGAAATTGATGACAAGGATATTTTGGGAAGAGGTCTGTGGGTAGTCCTCTCTGAATGAAAAACTAAGTGAAGATATTTGTGTCCTGTATGAATGTTCAACAATAGCTGACCCTAGCAGAGGAAAATTTTAATAATCAAATGGAGAGGGTGACCCATTCTGTGAATACCAGTTAGCCTCTTTCTCCAACCACCCATGTCATCACTCAGTGGGATAATTAACAAAGTGGCTATGGAGGCAGGGATGGAAGTTATACATGAGCTTAGCAACATGGATTGCTACACACCAAGGCTGACATGCCTATGGCCATGGCTGTGTGCCGAATCTGCCATCAGCTGTGATGAACACTGAATCCCTGATATGGCAGCATTGCCCAAGGTGATCAGCTAGGTACCTGATGACAGATTCGTTACACTGGACAGCTTCCATAATGGAAGAAGCAGTTTTTCTTCTTACTGAAATAGTCACTTACTCTGGATATGGATTTGCCTTCCATGAGTGTCATGCTTCTGCCAAAACTACCATCTGTGGACTTACACAATGCTCTGTCCACTGTCCTATATTTTACACAGCATTGCTTCTGATCAAGCAACTCACTTCACAGCAAAAAAGTGTGGCAATGGGCCCATGCTTATGGAATTCACTAATCTTACCAAGTTTTTCACCATCCTGAAGCACCTGGCTTGATAGACCTGTGGAATGGTCTTTTGAAGCTTAGTTACGTTGGCAACTAGGTGGTGATACCTTGCAGGACTGGGATAAGGTCCTCCACAAAGCTGTACATGCTTTGAATCGGCACCCAATATATGGTGGTGTTTCTCCCATAGCCAGGATTCAAGGGTTCAGTAATAAAGGGGTGAAAATGGGAGTGACACTATTACTAATTACCCTTAGTGATCTACTAGTAAAACTTTGTTTCCTGTTCCTATGACTTCATGCTCTGCTGGTTGAAGGTCTTAGTTCCAATGGGGGGACCCCTTTCACTAGGAGACAAAACAATGATTCCATTGAACTGTAAGTTAAGACTGCTTCCCAGCCACTTTAGGCTCCTCATTCCTCTGAATCTACAGGCAAAGAAGAGTTGTGGTGCTGGCTGGGGTGACTGATCCTGACTATTAAGGAGGAATTGGACTACTACTCTACAATGGAGGTAAGGAAGAGTATGTTTGGAATACAGGAGATCCTGTAGGCATCTTTTGGTATTACCATGCCCTGTCATTAAGGTCAATAGAAAATTCAACAATTTGAATTTTTGAAACAACAACAGTTCAATCCAGGCCAGACTACTAATGACCCAGACCCCTTAGGAATAAAGGTTTGGGTCATTTCACCAAGTAAAGAACCATGACCAACTGAGGTGCTTACTGAAGGCAAAATAAATATGGAATGGATGGTAGATGAAGGTAATTATAAATGCCAGCTATGACCATGTGACCAGTTATAAAAACAAGGGCTAATTGTCATAAATATTTCTTAGTTTGTTATGAATACATTTGTGTCTATGCAACTACCTAAGCAAATATCTTTGTTTCCTTTCCTCTCTTATTCCCTTATCATGTAATGTAACATGTATTAACTCTATGTCATAGTGTTTAAGTACTGTTAATTTTATATCAGAGTATTTTAGTTCAGGGAAATCAAGGGGAAGAGTAAACTTCACTCAAGTGCTTTGCCTTCTTCCCCTTTTCTGGGGAAGGGGCTAATGCATTTTTGGTTGTATGCAGGATAGTTGTATTATGTTAGGCAGAATTATGACTTTGTTATGATTTTAATTTGAATATTAAGTATGGTTTAAGAAAATGTGGGGAGGAGGGAAATCAATTAGGAGTGGACTTGTGATTATTAATTTTATGTGCCAACTTGATGTATTGGAAGAAATACAACAACAATTAAATCTGGGCCAGACTACTAATGACCCAGACCCCTTAGAAATAAAGGTTTGGGTCATTCCACCAAGTAAAGAATGCTGACCAACTGAGGTGCTTACTGAAGGCAAAATAAATATGGAATGGATAGGCAAAATAAATATGGAAAGGCAAAATAAATATGGAACTTGATTGCACTAAGGGATGTCCAGATATTTTGGTTAAATATGATTTCTGGGTATGTCTTTGAGAGTGTTTCTGGGAGAGATTAGCATTTGAATCGGCAAACTGAGTAAAGCAGATGGCTCTTTCCAGTGTAAGTGGGCATCATCTAGTCTGCTGAAGGCCTGAATAGAACAAAAAGTTGAAGGAAGCTTGAATTAATTCTTCCCGACTGCTTCAGCTACCACATCAACCTTCCCTTTCCCTTGCTGCTCCTCATTCTCAGAACTTCAGACTTGGACTGGAATCTACACCCTCAGCTCTCTGGCTCTCAGGTCTTCAAATTACACCACTGACTTTCCTGGGTCTCCAGCTTACAGATGATAGATTATGGGACTTCTCAGCCTTCCTATTATGTGAGATAATACATTATAATAAATGTCTTTATCTATATATCTCTCTCTTATTTATAGGATTTATGAATATAAAACTTCTATAGGATGTTTATATTCTATTTATATATAACTCTTCATATGCATAAATCATATATATGTATTCCTTTCTATATATATCTATATATCAATATATAGCTATATCTTCTATAGGTTCTATGTATCTGGAGAGCCCTGATTGATACATCATGCTATACATATATTAATAGTTTACTATCTGGCTACAGCATAAGAATTTTATCCATGTTTCAGTATTACCTTTACTATCTTCTTTTTTTTTTGAGATGGAGTCTTGCTCTGTCCCCAGACTGGAGTGCCATGGCGCGATCTCGGCTCACTGCAACCTCCGCCTCCTGGGTTCAAGCAATTCTCCTGCCTCAGCCTTCCGAGTAGCTGGGACTAAAGGCACGTGCCACCACGCCCAGCTAATTTTTGTATTTTTAGTAGAGACAGGGTTTCACCATGTTGGCCAGGATGGTCTCGATCTCTTGACCTTGTGATCTGCCTGCCTCGGCCTCCCAAAGTGCTGGGATTACAGATGTGAGCCACCCTGCCTGGCCTACTATCATTTTTAATGATTGCGGAATATTCTTCTGAGTGGATGTACCATAATTTAATTAAAATTTTCTCTTTTGTTGGTTTTGTCTTTTTGTTGTTGAAGGTATACCTTGGAAATAATGCAAGTTTGGTTCCAAACCACCACAGTAATGCACATACTGCAATAAAGCAAGTCACACAATTTTTCTTAAGTTCCGCAGTGCATAAAAGTTATGCTTACACTATACTGTAGTCTATTAAGTGTGTGATAGCATCATGTCTTAAATGCCATACATACCTTAATTAACAATACTTTATTGTAGAAAAATGCTAACAATCATCTGGACCTTCAGTGAGTCATAATGCTCTTGTTGATGAAGGGTTTTACCTCAACATGGATGGTGGCTGACTGATCAAGGTGGTGGTTGTTGAAGGTTTGGGTGGCTGTGGCAATTTCTTAAAATAAAAGAATAATGAAGTTTGCCACATCAATTGACTATTGTTTTGACGAAAGATTTTTCTGTAGCCTGCAATGCTGTTTGGTAACATGTTACCCCTAGTAGAACTTCTTTCAAAATTAGATTCGATCCTCTCAAACCCTGCTGTTGCTTTATAAACTAATTTTATGTAGTATTCTAAATCCCTTGCTGTCATTTCAACAATGTTCATGGTATCTTCACCAGGAGTACATGCCACACCAATTTCTTTGCCCATCCATAAGAAGCAACTCCTCATCCATTCAGGTTTATCATGAGATTACAGCAATGCAGTCACATCGTCAGGCTCTACTTCTAATTCTAGTTCTCTTGCTTTTTCTACCACATCTGCAGTGACTTGCTCCACTGAAGTCTTGAACCTCTCAAAATCATCCATGAGGGATGGAATCAAATTCTTCCAAACTCCTGTTAATGTTGACATTTTGACCTCCTTCCATGGAATCATGAATGTTCTTAATGGCATCTAGAACAATGAATCCTTTCTAGGTTTTCAATTTACTTTGCCCAGATCTATCATACAAATCACTGTCTATGGCAACTATAGCCTTATGAAATGTATTTCTTAAATAATAAGACTTCAAAAGTCAGAATTACTCCTTGATCCATGGGTTACAGAGTAGATGTTATGTTGGCAGGCATGAAAACATTAATCTCCTTATACGTCTTCATCAGTGCTTTTGGGTGATCAGATGCATTGTCAGTGAGCAGTAATATTTTGAAAGGAATCTTTTTTTCTTAGCAGTAGGCCTCAACAGTGGGCTTAAAATGTTCATAAGCCATGGTGTAAACAGATATGCTATCATCCAGCTTTGTTATTTCATTTCTAGAGCACAGGCAAAGTAGATTTAGCTCCTTCTTTCTTTTTAAAGAGAATGCAAATTTATTAAGAAAGTAAAGGAGTAAAAGAATGAGTATTCCATAGACAGAGCAGCAGTGAGGGCTGCTGGGTGACTGTTTCTATGGTTATTTCTTGATCATGTAATTTAGCATAATTCTTAAGGGCTCTAAGATTTAAGAATGGTACATGAGCATTGGCTTCAATGTAAAGACATGAGTTGCATTAGACCCTAAAGAGTTAACCAGATTCTTGAAGTTTTGAAGCTGGGCATTAATTTTTCCTCTCTAGCCATGGAAGTCCTAGATGGCATCTTCCTTCAATATCAGGCTATTTCTTCTTAACTGAAAATCTTTTATTTGGTGTAGCCACTCTCATCAATTATCTTAGTTAGATCTTCTGGATAACTTGCTACAACTTCTCCATCAGCACTTGCTGCTTCACCTTGCACTTTCATGTTATGGAGACAGCTTCTTTCTTTAAACCTTGTGAACCAAACTCTGCTAGCTTTAAACTTTTCTTCTGTAGCTTCCTCACCTCTCTCAGCTTTGATAGAATTGAAGAGTTAGGGTCTTGCTCTAGGCTTTGGTTTAGAGAATGTTGTTTCTGGTTTGATCTTCTATTCAGACCACTAAAACTTTCTCAGCAATAAGACTGTTTCACTTATCATTTGTGTTTTTATTGGAGTAGTACTTTTAATTTCCTTCAAGAGCTTTTCATTTGCATTCACAGCTTGGCTAGCTGTTTGGCTCAAGAGGTCTAGCTTTTGGCCTGTCTCAACTTTTGACATATCTTCCTCACTAATCTTAATCATTTCTAGCTTTTGATTTAAAGTGCAACTCTTCCTTTCACTGAACACTTAGCGGACATTGTAGGATCATTAATTGGCCTAAATTCAATACTACTATGTCTCAGGGAATAGGGAGGCCAAAGGAGAGTGAGAGAGATGGAGGAATAGCTGGTTGGTAGAGCAGTCGGAGCACATACATGTGTTGGTTAAGTTTGCTGTCTTATATAGGCCCAGTTTGTGGCACCCCAAAACAAGTATAATAGTAGCATCAAAGAACACTTATCACACATCACCAAAACAGATATAATAATAATGAAAAAGTTTACAATATTGTGAGAATTACCAAGATGAGGCACAGAGACAGGAAGTGAGCACATGTTGTTGGAAAAACAGCACTAATAGACTTGCTTGATGCAGGGTTCCCACAAACTTTCAATTTGTAAAAAATGTAAAATCTGTGAAGCACAATAAAGTGATTTGCAATCAAAGGAGGTATGCCTGTATAAATCTTTTCACAACGACTTTAATAATGCACAAATACCCATCTCTTGACTACAACAATGTATTGGATTACTTTGGAAGTTTTAGAAATTGGTTTAATTGTAGTTTTTCAATTTTAAAAGTAAAGATTTTATCCGTAGAGACAAATTGTTTTTCAAAAGGCTGGTTCCAATTTGCACTCCCACCATAAATATATGAAAATAAATTTAACCACAATTTTTCAGTGTATAAGCCGCCACCTCCCTTTTCCCGATGAAGACATAGAAACCTAAGGTCAAAATTAAACACATAAATCTCCAACTAGTAAGTTTCCCAGCTGAACATTTACGTATTTAACAAACATATATAGTGAATACTCTATGCCAGACACTCTTCTAAGCACCTTATAAGAGTTTATAAGGCTGCTCACGTAAAGGACATTTATTACTATTTTCTTACTGAAATATAATATGTAATCAGTGACTCTATATTTTCGTTTGGTTCTGACTCTCCTTCTCCTTCCTCTCTTCAT